TGAGTTTAATTTGTTCGATAATGTAATTTTTATTAAAACATATTTTTTCTATTTTTCACTGTCAGAATGGGGGTGAGCATTATACAGTATTAGCTCGTTCCGATATCGTACCAAATGTTTTAGTTTGATATGAGATTTTACGTTGTACTGATTGCAATCTCGAAATATCAGTTCGAGATGATTTGGTATCGATTTCAGTACAATTTCAGTACAAATTGGGATGAATAAATACTTGCCTACTAGGTTACACTTTAAATCTAAGAGAACACCCTTACTTTTGGAAAAATCAAAAGTACATTAAAATTATAAACATAAAAAACAGAAAAAATGAATAACAGTATGGGAGAATTGAAATGCTTATCAAAGCTTACTTTATACTACGTGTACTATATTCGTCCCAAATAAAATTACATGTTTACTATTCACTGGGTCATATCTCATTCACTTACTTTACTTATTTTCGCTAGTCATTTGATTAAATAATATAGTCATATTACGACTAGTTTTATAAATCTTTTGGTGTAATTTTAAAATATGTAATTTTTTTTATTTCTATCCCATTTTTCATATAAAATGATTTGAAAATAATTTTAGTCAAATATCGTAAACCGAAACAGGCGATTTAAATTGGGACGAAGGAAGTATTTCACAAACTAAAAAAACAAATGATAAAAAAAAATAGTATTTCAAATGTTTGTTAATATTTCTATATTAATATACACATTTCGAAAAAACGAGATAAAATATCAAGTTTTTTCAAGTCATTTTATTCAAATATTCGTATAGAGTTAAGAAATAAAATTTATACATTTAAAAATTACATAAAAAATTGTTTCAAATAAGAAGTGTCATAAATATTTTATTTTATCAAATAATTAATGAAAATGTAAAATATGACAAGTATTTTGGTATGGGGGAGTATCACAATCTATTCAACGAGGGGAGGGCCTGGTTTTTTAACCCCATTCTAGTCGCTGCTCTTGAACCGGTGGTTGATATTTTTCAGATTTCTTATGTCTCTTTTAATTTGAGTTGTTAGATTGGATAAATTATTCTATTAGTTGTGTTTCGTTTGTTGAGTTCTAATTTCAAAAAAAAAAATTTAATATGAGTAAAACATTAAAAATATATCAAAATAGAATTTTTCATATTTTTCAAATAAAAAATATTTTATAGAACGAGGCCGGGGTATACTAAAAAATATTAAATTATTCAGCCGGCCCTGAAAAAATAGAGTCTAGGCCGGTCGGACAACTTGGCCCACACTTAGGCTGGCCCTGTATATATAATTCTAGTTAGAGATATTTTTTTTTACTTTATTGTACTCCCTTGGTCCCTCCGTTTGCAAAAAAACTTCCATTTTGATTTGGAGCAAAAATAAGGAAGTGTTAAATTATACGGAGTAGTTGATTTCCAATTTTGCCCTTGATGTGATGGGTAAAAGTAAGATGTGATGGATAGATTATTAGAGAAAAAGTATGATGTGATAGGTAGGGTATGAAAAAGTAAGGGTAAAAGTAGTTTTTTAATAGAAAGAGAAAGTGTTTTGTTGAAAGTGGAAAAAATGAAAGAGGAAATGTTTTTGAGAACGGAGGGAATACAACTTAAAAATTGTTGATAAAATTACAAGAGGGAGGAAGTGTTTGTTTGGAAATAACGTCACAGTTTAACGTTAGCGTTTTGGATAAAATTTCAACGGTGCATATTACTTTGAAAATGCTAACACTAGACGCTGTCCGTAGATAATCTTTTTAAAACGCTAGTATATACGGAGTAGTACGTAAAAAGCTAAAAGCATTATTGGACATTTGTGCTTGAACAGTCAGTCAGTGGTACGATATAGAGGAACGAGGATATGCATGAATGGGTGAATATAAAATTCATATTCGTATGTCGGAACTCACCCAGATTCATTTGTATTTTGGCATTTTTGGGTTCTAATTATTTATGAAACTATATCTACTTTTTTGATTGAAAAAAAAAAACTGAAAAAAAGAAAATGTCCCATGCACTAATAACTCCATCTTCAATTCCGAGCAATTTCTTCTTTAGCCAAAAAGTATAGTTGTACTACTGTACGATCCATATAAAGATAATATCACAATCTATCCAATCTATATTCGACGAGGGCAGGGGAGGGCCTGGTTTTTTAACCCATTTCTAGTTGTTGCTCTTAAATCGGTGGTTGATATTTTCTTTTTTAGATTTCTTATGTCTGTTTGGGTTGTTAGATTGGATAAATTACTCTATTAGTTGTGTTTTGTTTTTTGAATTCTAACTTGAACTTAAGTAAGAGTAAAATATTAATAATATACTAAAATAAGAGTTTCATATTTTTATTTCGGAAATAAAAATTAAAATACATTTTATATTATCTACCATGATTATGTACCTTATCAAAATGTAAAGTAAAATGTCTATATACGGTGTCACATTATATTACCACACTGAGAACTCTTATTTTGTGATAAAACTATGGAGTTTCTAATTTTGTACTTTCGATCTCTATGTTTTACTTCTATTTAGAGAAGTGATTACTTCTTCTAGCTTTGTCTTTTTTGGATTTTAACTTTCAGCTTTAACATTTTCAAATTTTTGGCCATTTTTTTCTACTTTTTTCTAGTTTTCTAAATGCTTTCAGTTTCTCACACCCCATCTTTTTTTTTTCAACTTTTTCATTTTTCCAACAATGGCAAAAACAATTTGTTTACATATATAGATTTTCATATTATTTCTATCGTTGTTGTTGTTGTTAAAGGTTATGTCACATTGGTGGAATGTTATTACTAAGACTTTCTACATTAGAGGTTATGTCACATTTAAATTCATAAATCTTTTGATAAACTCCGTAGTATTATTGACTTTATTGCAACATAATATAAATAAAATATACTTTTTGTCCCAAAAAAAGTTTTCTTCTCTCTTTTTCTCTATTCCAAAATGTCTTTCTCTCATCTTTTATACAAGTATCAAAAAATCACTTTAAGTCCAATCAATCATACTATGTATTATACTCCATCTGTCCTCAATTTGATTACAAATTGCGGGTTACGGAGTAAAATTTCTTACTTTTTGAAATCATTTTATTTACAAATTGGTATATCAATAAAATATAAAAATTACATATTAAAAAACTACGTCAAAAGTTCTACAAAACAAGAGGTGACAAGAATATTTTATTTTATCAAATAAGTAATGAAATTGCGTAAACAAACAATATTTATCGAGAGGAGAGAGAGAAAAAATTGTAATCCATTTAGGCACGGAGGGAGTATTTATTTATTAAATACTCCCTCCGTCCCCCAGTTTTTGTCCACTTTCATTTTTACACACCATCCAATGCACTTCTTTAATCCATTTTATCTTGTAATTTGTATATCAAAAAATTATAAAAATTATATATTAATAGTCTATATGTTAAGACAAATCAAACAAGATTACACATGACTATATTTATGCTTACACATTGAGAGAATTTGATGAGTCAAAGTGCTTAGATGAACAGTGCTGAAAGTCAAAAGTGGACAAAAATTGGGGGACGGAGGGAGTATTTGCATATCATATTTTAGTTATGATATCAAAAATGTTTTTGAATATTGTCTTATTATATTAGTACTTGTAGATATTCATTAATAATTTTTACAATAATAAAAATAATACTGGAGTATGATAAAAAACCAAGTGTGAAATTGTATATGCACAATTATATTAAAAATTAAATGGAGAAGTAAAAAATACAAATTAAAATACTTTTGTAACTAAAATACCTAATAATACAATATAAAATATTAATTTTTTAATTAATGTTGACCGAGTCTTGACCCCCGGATTTACCGCTTCAACTGGTTAGCCCTTGCCCACCACTCCCTCATCCGGGTCGACGTCCGATTCGGTTTTCAAAACATTAAATTAATCTCTTATTAATGGATATAATCCACTAGCACCAACCCCGGTATACTGACCGGGTGGATGTGCAGGTCAGACATGTGAGATTGTGACTTCATTCGCAGAGAAGGCTTGAAGACCACCCGGGTGGATGACCTGAAGCCTGCCCGGGGTGGATGGCTTGAAGAACACCCGGGTGGATGACGTGAAGCCTGCCCGGGGTGGATGACCTGAAGACTGCCCGGGGTGGATGGCTTGAAGACCACCCGGGTGGATGACCTGAAGCCTGCCCGGAGTGGATGACCTGAAGCCTACCCGGGGGTGGATGACCTGAAGCCTACCCGGGGTGGATGACCTGAAGCCTACCCGGGTGGATGACTTGAAGACTGACCGGCCGGAAGAACAGTAACGTCGGGACGTGCTTGACATGCTTGTTTTTATTATAAATACCCCTAAAAGCCTAATTTGGGAGGCATGTTTGAATTAACCTACACGGCTTGTACTTTGTAATAGTCCCAGTATTATCAATAACAAACCGGGTTACAGGTGTTCCCACCTACAGCCCTTCCGATTACTTTCACTTAGTATTTGCGTGGTAATTTACACCATCACTTATAATGCATAAAAATCAAAATGAGAAGATATTTTGAAAGAGATGGAGTATTTACTAACTCTGTCCTGCTATATTCGTCCACTTTTGACTTTTGGAACTGTTCATCTAAGCATTTTGACTCATCAAATTCTCTCAATGTGTAAGCCTAAATATAGTCATGTGTGATCTTGTTTGATTTGTCTTAGCATATAGATTATTAATATATAATTTCTATAATTTTTTAATATACAAATTACAAGATAAAATGGATTAAAGAAATATATTAGATGGTGTGTAAAAATGAAAGTGGACAAATACTCTGGGACGGATGAGTATTACTCTAATTTATGGCCAAGGAGAATTAACGATTCCTCATTTTTTGTGGACCTGAGAAGCCTAATACGGAGTACGGAGTATTTTTTCTGTGTTGGCTAATGAGTTTTTCAGTTTGTCAGAGAACACTCAATTAAGAGGCCCAATAACGAAAAAATGAAGCCCAATAAATATATCGGCGCAGAGCCCCGTAGTCCAAAACGCAGCGATTCCGGCCGGCGACGTCCCGTCTGAGCTTTGAAACGCCGTCGAAGCGGATGCTCGTTCCTTACAGTCTAAGGCAATACGAATCATTCTCCTCTCCGCATCTGTTCTTGTTTTGTCTCAATGTTGTTTATGGTTTTTAAGATTAGGGTTTCCCATTTTAACTACGATTTACGGAGTAAATTTTCAATAGCTTTAATATCTACGATTCATATTGCACCACATTGATTGAAGACTGGAAATGATTGAACATTTTTAATTTTTTTGATTTTTTTTGGTTCCAGTAATTATAATGACGAAATAAGCTACTTTTTAGGGTTAGGCTTCAATTTGCTAACGCATTGCGAAATGGAATTGCAGCTTCTTCGTACAGATTGACTTCCCGGGTTTGTATTTATAATTGAGTTGAAATGTTACTTGAGCCGGGGTCTCTTTCAAACAGTCTCCATAGGTTTGAGTAGGGTAAGGTTTGTGGGATTCAACTGGGTTGTTTTTGTTATCGAGTTGAAATGTGAATTGCTTCTCTGGAACTCTTGTTCGTGTAGCCATCTATGTAGAAGATGCCGACAGAACAGGTGTGCTCGAGCAGTCATAAACAAGGTTTAGAAAGTCGAAGAAAAAGTAAAGAGAACAATACAAAAAATGGGATGGAAGGTCTCCACTTTGAGCACATTGTGAATAATGATGGTGATGATGATAGTAGCAATAAGAATAGTAGCAGAAGACTCGGCGGGGACTGTGACGGGAGTTGTCTGGCGAGCGTGGACATGAAAAAAAGGAAGAGAGATGTTAACTGCAATGTTGATGAATCACATGCAGGTTGCCAAGAGATGAGAAATTCTGCAGACAGTGAAGATGATGCGCATGTAACTGTAAGTAAGATGCTGGAAAATGACATTGACATGAAGGCAAAACTCACCGATGAGTACCATGAAGATAGCATTGAGATTGTCAGGGTGAAGAAGAAGGAGAAGAAGAAAAGGGAGAAACGGGAGAAGAATAATGATGTCTGTTCAGGCATGGCAGATATTGGCAGAGATACTTGTGGAGCTACTGAAGAAAATGAGAATCCCAGCATGCAGAAGACAGCTGAAAATGTTAATGAGGCTCCTGAAAAGGGTGAAGAAAAAGATAACAAATCGGAATTAGTTCAAGGTAAGTGGTTTTCAGAAGAAGAGGATGAGATCATCAAAAAGGCTGTGTTTAAGTTCATAGAGAGGCACGAATTGGGCGATGAAGGTTTGAACATGCTTTTAAACAGTCGATCCTTTCCAAATCTGAAAGGCTGCTGGAACGAAATTGGGGCTGCCCTTCCTTCCCGGCCTAATAAAGCTGTCTACAGCCGCGCTCAAAAGCTGTTTCGGAAAGGTGATAGCGCTTGGACTGAGGAAGAGTACGAATTTGTGAGAAAGTACCAAGAAAAACATGGGAATCGGTGGACAGATATGGCCAACAAACTTGGCAAATTCGGTGTTCACGTCATGAACGCATGGCTCAGAAGAAAGCTACCCAACAGGAAGAAGGGACACTGGTCTCAAGAGGAGTGCCAAGCTCTATTTGATTTGGTGAATAATGATCTGCAATCCAGGGTTTCCAAGGAGAAGAAATCCAAGCATGGCATGCTGCGCGACAATATCCGTTGGATTGAAATAAGTGACAAATTGGCAACACGAAGTAACGATGCGTGTTGTTTGAAATGGTACTACCAGTTGACATCACCTATGGTCGCAGAAGGGAAATGGACCGATGCTGATGATTATCGCCTCATAGATGCATTGTATGAGTTGGATGCAAGCTGCATAGAGAACGTGGATTGGGACAGTCTTCTTGGCCATAGGTCAGGTGATGTTACTCTGAAGCGTTGGAGGCAAATGGTTCGCCACATTGGTAACCATGAGAATAAATCATTTGCCGAACAAGTTGAAATCCTGGCACAAAGGTACTGCCCCTACATGCTTGAGGCAAGAGAGGCCTGGGATAGCAAGCCTTATGTACCCTGAGTTTCTGGTGCCATCTTTTCACTGCAAAACGTGCAATACCTTTTTGTGCTCGAATTTGCAATTTCAACAAAGTACTCCCTCCCTCCCTTCTTAATGGTCTCAGTTTCTTATTTGGATTGCCCCTAATTAATGTTTCCATTTCTCTTTAAGGAAATTATTGCGTGTGCTCCACATGCTTTCGGTCACGCTGCATAAATTTGTGCACTCCAAAGGATTTCTCTCCCATTGTATAAATTAATCTTACGCTGTTAGACTTAGGGGCTGTTTGGTAACTTCTGAATAGGTAAGTGCTGAACCAGTAAGAGGTCTGAACCATTAAGTGCTGAACCAGTAAGAGGTCTGAACCATTAAGAGCTAGTATATTGCTTAACTATTCAGAGGCAAATGTCTGATCAATTCAGATAAGAGCTCTTAACCATTCAGACTCTGTATAATACTTAATCATTCAGAGGCAAATCTCTTAACCATTCAAATATCTGAACCATTAAGAGGCTGAAACAAACAGTCTGAACCATTAAGTACTGAATCATTCAGACATCTGAACCATTAAGAGGCTGAAACAAACAGCCCCTTAGAAGTTATAATTAGACCTGGCAATCGGGTCAATCGGTTCGGTTCCGGTTCGGGTCTTTTCGGTTCGGGTCTCTTTCGGATATATGTTATAATCGGTTTGGGTCAGTTCGGGTCGGGTCAGTTCGGTTCCGGGTTTATTTCGGTTTGACTGGTTTTTGGTTTCGGTTCGGGTTTGTATCGGTTTGGGTTTGTATCAGTTCGGGTTTGTATTGATTTGAGTTTATATCGGTTTAAATTTATATTAGTTCAAATATAATGTAAACACATACTAATAAATGAATAATATCACATAACAAATCTAGTTAATTTATGACATACTTCGTAGTTATTTTACTCCGTATTATTTAAGACGGACGTACATAAAAAATAAATACTTATATAATTGACTAATTGTTTACATTCTAAAGTTTTCCCTCTTAAAGTTTTTGGAGCAACCTTTGTAGTTAATATTTTACTTCCACTTCCTAAATTTCTATTAAACTACTCCGTATTTTTTTTCATTTTGTGTTTCAAATATTAGAATAACTACATATAAAAATAATTCTTCCTTAGCCGTCGAGTATTTGTTTACTTTTGACTTTTTTTGTCAAAGCCAGTAAATTTTGACTTCAAACTAAATAAAAATGATATTAGATACTTATACAAAAAGAGTTTTATTAGATTTATTATATCGAATATTTTTAAAATATTATATTATATATTTAATTTAATTATAGTGTGTTAATTGGCATATTAAAAAAAAGAAAATCAACTTTGGTAACATAATTCTTTACATAAAATATGTATTACAATGTAACTATAATTTTTATACACTTTCTATAAAAATACAAATATATTTTAACTTAGGTTATAAAATACGAAGTACAAAATAAAAGATTTGTACATGAAAGTAGTTACATGGTTTGCACTCATAATTTAAATATGTTTTTTTATAAACATATCAACATATGTAAAAGGGAATTGATAAATGCACTCCAAAAATGTTAGTTGCACTCCACATGTTTCTTTATTGACAAAAAAATCCTTTAAAATCTTTCATATCTTTTTAATATCAAATAACCATCAAAATTAAAATAGTAGTAAGTTTTAATCCTCAAAAAAATTTGACGGAGTAATATATGTCATCGTTAACTTAAAATGAACCCCTCAATTGACAAGAACTCGTAACTTGCCAATTCAAAAAGGTTTTAAAATGGTCTTAACATGTATATAACTTGTTTTTAATCCTGACTTTTATTCTAATTAAATATAAATTTAATTTTAAAACTATTTTAATAGTTTAATTAAATGGTGATATATTTTAAAGCCTCATTAGAAAAGCATGCTTTAATTAATCCACACGGCTTGTAAACTTGTAAACAATCTCATTATTAATAACTGTTAGCAAGAATATCTCTTAGTAAATATTTACTTATGGGCCTCTTATGTTAATAGCCCAATCTGTTCTTATATATACATTGTACAAACTTTTCTAAGAGTGAACAATATTTCTCAGTTCCATTATGGTATCAGAGCTGAGGAATTGTAAAACCAAAACGGTTAAACCGTAAAAGAAAAGATAGAGTCGTCTGCTCATCTCCTTCTTCTAGGCCTTTCTTTTTCAAACCGGGTTACATGTGCTCCCATCTACAACCCTTCGATTTATTTGTACTTAGTATTTGCATGGTTTTACATCATCAGTACTCTAATTAAATATGGAGCATATAAGTGTATTGTATTGAAATTATTTATAGAAAAGAAAATAGAAAAGTTCAAAGATATACATCTAAAATCCAAAAAAAACAAAAGAGATAAAAGTAATGAATGTGATTATTTTCCGTCACAATAATTTTTTTGGATCTTAGATCTATTTCTCTAATTTTTTTTCTACTTTTATACGGAGTACATCATTTTAAAAAAAATCACAGTTTCATATGGAGCATTTAACTGGAGTATATTACAAATATTTGGCATTTAAAATATTGAGAATAGTAAAAAAATTACTCCAAAATAATAGAAAAAGAAAAAAAAAATATCAGAAAAAAAAGATAAAAAATATACTTTGTATTAAAAAAATATTTAATTTTTTTAATAAAAATATTTCAAATTAAATGAGAAAAAAAATCAAGAATCAAAAAATTAAATTTTTTATACACGCTTAGTCCATTTAAAAAAACCTTATTGAGGTTAATGTTGAGTTTTAAAAATGAAATATTTAGAGGTGCAAACCTATAGAAGAGATCCCATCTAAGTAAGGTCACTTTACAAATGACATATTTTCCTCAATCAATGTAATTTCTTTAAAAGCAATTTGAGATTAAAATGAAATGAAGAATTTTAAAGGACAATTTTGTCAATTCTTAGCCATAAAAGAAATGTGTGGAGTGCAACTAACAATTTTGGAGTGTATTTATCAATTGCCTATGTAAAAATATATAGGTAATTCTTTTTTTCCAAATTCATTTGATAAATGAAATATTAATGAATTTGATCAATTTCGGGTCTAATCAGTTTCGGGTCTAATCGGTTCCGGGTCTAATTGGTTCCGGGTTTAACCGGGTTCGTGTTTAATCGGTTCGGGTTTAATCGGATTCGGGTCTGAATCGGGTCTGAATACATTCCGTTCGGGTTCGGTTCGGTTCGGATCATTTCGGGTGTTCGGTTCTATTTCGGTTCTTCAATTTTCGGGTCAAATCGGGTTCGGTTCCGGGTTATTCGGTTCGGGTTATCGGGTCCGGGTCAGTTTTGCCAGGTCTAGACTTATAATCCCAAGGGTATTAGAATTACACGGGAGTTTGTGAGTTTGTAATATCAAAAAAAGTTTTTCCATTTTCCTTTTTATCTGTCCCAAAATTTACATTTTTTTTACTCAGTGCATGCGAGTTTGTGATATAAGACACTCATATACATATATGCTCCTACATCTCCCCACTTCCTAGAGAGCGGCAAGTCCCAAGTTCGAATGAACACCTAAAATCTAATTTTTTTTAAATGAACATTCTAACAATGATAATTACTAACATTTAATATGAACACATCCCTCATCTATTTCAAAAATCTTCAAAGTAATTATTTTTGTGTGTGTAAATATCATCTTTTTTTCTTTATCGAAGTATTTCTCTATTGTCCCCTTTGTTTTAAAATAAAATTTAAGATTTTATTTTTACGTTGTCCAAAATAAAGTTTACAATTTTGTTACTACTTTCTCACTCTTTTGGTCTAATTTAAGTTCATAGTTGTTTTTATTGAAAATTAAGAAAGTGTAATATAGAATAAAGAGAAATATTAAGAATCACGAAATTGAACATGATAATTTCATTTTAGAACATCCATGAAAGAAAAGAAATCTAAAATGTAACGTAATTGCAACCCAACTTGCAGCGAGTTTGGGCAGGGCCCTTTTCAGCTTGTTAATGAAGAATTATTACGAGGCCCAATCGCCATCGTCGTCGTCTACCTACCCGTCGGTCAGCGCTCTCCTCTTCCCCTCGCTGCATAGGCAACCCAATAATTGAAATCAACCCTATCCCTTTTCCGTCCCTTTTCCGTCACCGTCCCAGCCGCCCTCGCTGCGTCATCCCAATCTCTCCCACCTCCGATTTCCAGGTTCCTAAGTGTTCTTGAATTTCTACTTTTGTATTGTTTTATTTGGCATCAATCATGTGAATCAAACTGCTCCAAATGATCAAACTATGTGCTAGGATTGTTTTTTTTGGAAATACTACGTATATACGAGTGAATGCTTTGATTTTTGTTAACCATTGTGATTTTCCAGCCGTTTATTTCGTCTATTTGGGCATTCATGCTCTAAGTAAATCATGAGTGTTGAAATGAGGCATCTCTTCCCTTTTACTTATTTGCTGGCATTCTTGTGTGACTATGGGGCATCTCAGGGCCTTCCCCAAGAGCTCGAAGACGCTCCAAAGTCTTCCTTACCCGATACGAGTTCGTATCATTGGTGATTTCATTGAGACAGAGTTTTTAGGGTTTGGTTATTCTTATTATGATTATGATAAATGGTTACATCTCCATATTTATAGATAGAGAAACCCTAACCCTAGGAAACTACGTTGTCTATCCTGATGGTTCAAGAAAAAGTGACGAGGTAAAGAACCGTAAAGAAACCCTCGAAGGAGCTTATAAATCACTCACCTAATAAAATCTAATACAACAACTAATATATAAATAATAAAGTCCTTAATAATGAATATCCAATAATAGTAAGAGATAGTAAGAGTACGCCTACTGCATCTCAAATTCCTCCTGCCACCTTGGAGCTCGCCGGACTCGTTCGCTACGCCGACTGCTCGGTTCGTCAACCACCTGACCCCGGTCTTCGGTCTCATGTGCATGGCGTCCCGGAAGTCTCGTAACATATCCTACCCTGTGGAATGAAGGAATTGGGATAAAATTATGAAAACTGAGTAAAAACTTACTAGATCTAGGTTTATCAACCTCTTTAACAATGTGAGTCATACCGGCTTTATAGCCAACAAAAGTTGTTAACCTACATGGCTTTGGCTTTGAAGGATCATCTATGCGGAATGCCTTCATTGCGTACATCTCACAAAGGATTGTCAATGACAATGCAAGTTTGTTTCGTACTCCCTCTGTCCCGGAAAACTTTTCCGGTTTTGACTTTTGGGAAAGGAAGATATAGAAGTTTGATCAAGACAAAACAACGACAATTGAAACAAGTTGGGCTTGAAAAATTTTAAAAAGGGTAAAGCGTAGAAGGTAGTTGAGGTGTGTTTGGTTAGATTTAAGAAAAGTAAGGGCAATTGTGTCCATTTAGACGAAATAAAAATATTTTATGGGACGAATAAGAAGTGAAAGTTGAAATGTTTTAAAGGACGGAAGGACTACTATACAATTGAAGACCATAACTCATAACAAATACGGAGTAATTTGTATAAAGATAAGCCTACAAAGAAACCTAGACGCAAATAGGCTAGGCAAGTGGCATCCTACATAATGAACCATAAGTAGTTTTACTAACTCTTAACCCTTTGCATTTCTTCCTTTTGAGAAGAATGCAAATTAGGATGTTATTATCCTTGTTCCAATAATTACTGTAATTATGAAATATAAGCTGCCGCCATTTACGGCTCAAGATAGAATTTCCTTAAGTGGTGCAAGATTTGCTTCCTTTTATCGACTTACTTCATGAATTTGTTTATGTAATCAGTGTGAAATAAGAATTGCGTCTCTGCAACTCTTGATTGTGTAGACATGGATGCTAAAGATGATGATGCAACAAGCATGATGGAGCATTCAAAGAAGAGGTCTAAAAGGTCAAATAAAAGCAAAGAGAACAACAATATGAAGAATGGCCTACACAATCAAGAGAAACTTGAGGGACACAACATATTTGAAGAAGGTCATGCCACTGAAAGTAGGGATTGGCTTGAAGATGTTGAAGAGAAGAAGATGGAAGTACGCGTTGCAGATGAAGAGAATGTTCAGGGCCCCGATTTTCTTGAGGGAGGGAGTTTCACAAAGAGGAGGGAGCGGACTGAAGATTTTGAAAACAAAAAAGAGAAAAAAAGGAAGAGATATGTTAAGTGCAATGTGATTGAGTCACATCCAGGGGATGAGTGCATTGAAGGTTGTACTGAGATGGCCAGAACGAAGAAGAAGAAGAAGAAAGAGGAGAAAAGAAAGAAAAATTGTGATGTTTGTGTTGGTTCAAAAGATATTGGGTCAGAAAGTCTTGCAACTATTGAAAGCGAGAATATTAGCAGGAGGAAGATGGCTGGAAATGTTCCCAAAGATACAAAGAGTCAAAAAAACTTGGAGGTTTTTCCTGATTGTGGTGATGTTCTTGATAAGGGAGAGCAAAAAATCAACAAAGTGGAATTAGTTCAAGGTAAGAGATTCTCAAAAGAAGAGGATGAGATCATCAAAGAAGCTGTCTATAAGTTCGTAGAGAGGCATGATTTGGGTGATGAAGGGTTGGATATGGTTTTTAACACCCGATCTTTTACAAATCTGAGAGGCTGCTGGAGTGAAATTGGGGCTGCCATTCCTTACCGACCTAATAAATCTGTCTACATGCGCGCTGTAAAGATTTTTCGTAAAAGTGAAAGCCCTTTGACTGAAGAAGAGTATGAATTTGTAAAAGAGTATCAAGAAAGACATGGGAATCGATGGGCAGACATGGCCAAGAAACTTGGCAAATTTGGGGGCCATGTCTTTAATGCATGGGTCAGAAGAAGGTTGCCCAATATGAAGAGGGGACGCTGGTCTCAGGAGGAATATAAAACTTTGTTTGATTTAGTGAACATTGATCTGCAATTGAAGGTTTATCAAGACAAGAAAACCAATCACGGCATGCTGCGCGACAACATCTCTTGGACAGCAATAAGTAATAAATTGGGGACACGAAATCTCCCAACATGTTGTAGGAAGTGGTACCACCAGTTAACTTCACCAATGGTCATGGAAGGCAAATGGGCCGATTCTGATGATTATCGGCTTATAGGTGCATTGTATGACTTGGATGCAAGCTGCATGGAGAAGGTGGACTGGGACAATCTTCTTGATCACAGGTCTGGCGAAGTGTCTCTGCAGCGTTGGAAGCAAATGGTTCGCCACATTGGTCATTATGAGAACAAATCATTTGCGGAACAAGTTGAAGTTCTAGCAAGTAGATATTGCCCTTACTTGCTTGAAGCAAGGGAGGCCTGGGATAACAAGCCTTGTGTGCCATGAATCCTTGTCATCTTTTCACTGCAATGTGTCGGCAATTGGAGATATGTTTTTGTTCTTTAGCTTGTGTGTTAAGGCTCCATTTGACTTTAGTTTAGAATTTCCTCCGGCTTTTCTGAAAATGCTATCTAACGTGGCTAATGTAGTGATTGGTGTGCACCATTAATCTGAATAGCAAGCTTTGCTTTTACTTCTTCTAAAAAGAATTGTTTTAATTTCTAGCCAGAATTTCTTTACTATAGAGATGTTTTTGTAATTTGATGTGTTTGTTAGTACGGAGTACTCCGTATTAGATATCTTTCAATTATGTATCATTGATTGTTTCCTTGGTCACTTGAATGTGCCTATATTTGGGTTTGACCTAAAACAATGGTTTGGGTGATGTGTTAATGTTCTAATTTCGATTTGTTTCAAGTCTTCTATTTTTTTTTCCTTTTCTTGTCTGAAGAAGGCAGCCTTATATTTAATCACAGATAATATTGAGAATCAAACCACTCTCCACAGCTCAGGGGGGATAACAAGCTTGTGCCAACTGCCAACAGATGCGCATCTTCGTTAGCAGAGCATGAGACATATGACATATCAATCTCTTTGCCACAACTAGCAATGAGATGAAGTCAAGCGCAAAAAGCATTCACCACATTCTTACAATCTTATTTCGACATCACCTGTTTTAAGAATTCTTGATAGATAAAAATTTGATATAACAGAAAATATAACGACTCTGGGTTCTTTAGAGAAACCTAGGCTTTGACTTAAGAAACATTTGGCTTTGGAGCACTCACATTCTAAATGATTATGCAAGTCTTACCTCGATTTAAAATACAAAGGACTCTTTTTGTTATAACTTTGATGGATTGTGCATTTATTATTCAAAACAAAATTGAAAATAAGGAGTAAAAATTTGGCCAGTAATGAGGAGCTAAAAATGGGGTTGAGTCGGTTGACAAACATGCAGAGTATAATGTCTCTCTGACTCTCCGTAGCTTGAAGTTCTGTATTGGATTTTGGCAGGGATTGTTACGAGGCAGCCGCTGGTGATGCAGTTGCAGAAGACCAAAGATGGGCTGGAGGAGTATGCGGAGTTCGCTCATTTGCCAAGAAGACAGTTCACTGATTTCGGTATATGAATTACCTATCATTATCTACACTAGTGCAGTATATTGTATGTTTGACAGTTTTTATCATGAAGTTTTCTATTTATTGGAATGTGTGGTTCTCTTTTGCAGCTTTGGTCCATAAGGAGATTGAGGATGAAACAGATAGACTTACGGGGGAAACAAAACAGATTTCTGCCATTCCCATTCACCTCAGCATCTATTCACCCAATGGTATACCCCACATTCTCTGCATTACCTTGAGGGAGTGAGGCTTTTTTATTAAGTTTCTGTCTATGCCTATCTCATTTGCTGACTATTCCTCATGGCTTGACTACATTGACAGTGGTAATAAACTTAACACTCATTGATTTGCCCGGTTTGACAAGGGTTGCTGTTGGTGAGTGTTTTCGTTTATCTATCCCTCTACTTAGGTGATCATTTGGTGTTCTTTTAAGGTAATCCCGATACGAAACAACTAAAGTTGTGTGTTGCAGAAGGACAGCCAGAAAGTATAGTCCAAGAAATTGAAAACATGGTCCGAACCTATGTCCAGAAGGTAATGCTGTCTTATAACCGGATGATAAATTTGTTGGTTACTTTGACATTTGAGTTGTGTGTTCACATCTCCGCCTCTTGAATTCTACCCATATCTTCATGTCATTGCTATCATGAGTTGTGACTTAGCATTATCCACATATGTCTCCTATTAATGACTTTGTAGCCAAACTGCATTATACTCGTAATAACTCCAGCCAATCAGGAAATTGCCACCTCCGATGCAATAAAACTTTCAAGAGAAGTCGATCCATCCGGTGGGTTTGATCTTGAAACTCATGGTGTTCTAATAAGATAATATATGTCTGCACCATTTTTTCTTAAGAAAAGTCTCTTATTTAAAAGTTGGATTTCTTACAAATGTCAATTTGAGCAACTTTTCAACATTTGTTAAGGAAACTGTAAATTGGTTATTATGATTGAAATTATTCAATTGACTTTTTAGTACTATGTTAACATATTTTATTTGTTATCTTTTTTTAATATAATTTGGTATTATTCACTGTGATTTTGTATTTTGTTGAAGAATTGGCAGAACTTTGAAGAATTTCAGCTTTTTTTTCAGTTGAGTATCACACTCAAAACAAAATTTGATCTTATTTATATTAAAATCTCCAGCCATGTCAATTTTTGCATCTTCCTTAGTTTGATTGTTTATAAACTAGAGTTTTTTTTTTTGCAAACATGAAAGTCTCAACATCTCAATGTTGAATGTGGGTATTGAATGTCAATCCTAATAATTTTTTTGCTCTTAAATTGTAATGCAAAAAAAAAAAAACATCTGCATAAAAACAAAATATGTTGGCAGTAATACTGTGAATCAAACTAAATTAGCCAAATGAACTCCTCATTACACTTCACCAGAGAATCTTGTTCTCTTGAAGATTCTCACCGCAGAGATGTCACACACTGACTGATAATTGAACACAAATATAATTAGTTTATTATATTTAAGACATGGATATCAAAATAAAATTGAATAAATTTACACTTCTTGAATAAAATGATATCTTTTTCAAGAAAACACAAAGCTCCTTGTTTGTCTTGTCTTACTATAAGTTCATGTGCACTCCACTTGTCGACTTTGACATCAGGATCAACGATGGAAACAAAATCCACGAGTCGGTTTCACTCCCGGCGCGTATACAACAGCTCCACAGGTATCTCCCATGTCACTCATCAAGCTCAATATATTTTGTATTAACTGGTTAACAAACTCAAAACGATTGGAGGTATTCTCATAAAAGCTTTTAAATTCTAGCATTTTAACCATGTGCATGTTGTCTGAAATGATTGCCACAGCTCGGTAGTCCTCCCTCTGTCCATTTGTGATAGTAGCATGCTGTTTGTAATCTGTAGTGCTTTATAGATGCTGTAAAGCACTCCTTCCTTGATCGTCGAGTGGGCAATGAAAAGCCGCTCATGAAACAAATTTATGGGCTCCCTGTCACATGACCGTGCCACAATCTTCACTGTGTTGGTGTTATCCAGACGTCGGCGTTCACCATAAAGTGCCCTGGAATGCTAACCCAATAGCCCAGCTCGGATATATGATCTAGAAGTGGTGGCAAGTCATGAGAAATCACAATATCCTCGACCATTATCAGGTGTGCTATCTTCTACTCCCACCCTAGGTACCTCCACAGTAGGAAAAATGCGTATTGAACCGCAACATGGGGGACTCAATGGAGGCATTGTGGGTTTTAACCCAAATTAATACACATTGAGATGCCAGTTAAGGGCAATCACATCCTGCAATGTGAATTCAAAGAGTGGAATCCAATGAGTTTGTGCATGAAATATTGAGTTGCACAATATTTATTACATATTTTATTTACTCGTATTAATATGGTGTGTGGGTGTGAGTGCATGGACAAAATAATTTCTAAACATCATGGTCGTTACAATTGTCAATATCATATACAATTACAAACTATTTAAATTACCCTATTTAAATGTCATTATAGGTTAGTTATTGTCAATACAATTATCAATGCTAATGCTAAAAAAGAAGATACATTACCCTTATTGAGGTGACAAGCAGGTTAAAGATGGTCTTTCTTCAATTGCATAGCGGAAAAAAAAGCAGTATCTGGCAACGTGGTAGGAGAGGAGGCTCATCTAGGCCTTTGAAGGCAGGCGCCGCTTCAAAATAAACGGGATAAGAGGGTATGGGAAGAGGCTATGAGTATCATAAGGTTGTCATTCTTTTCCTACTCAACTCCTTATCATTCACAGTAACATCATCCAATTGGATATCTCCTCCTATATCCGTCTTATAGGAGGAGAGAGTTAATTGTTGTCATTGGGAATGAGGTGCTCAATAAGACGGATATAGGAGGAGATATCCAATTGGATGATGTTACTGTGAATGATAAGGGAGTTGAGTAGGAAAAGAATGACAACCTTATGATACTCATAGCCTCTTCTCACACTCTCTTATCCCGCTTATTTTGAAGCGGCGCCTGCCTTCAAAGGCCTAGATGAGTCTCCTCTCCTACCACGTCGCCAGATACTGCTTTTTTCTCCGCTATGCAATTGAAGAAAGACCGCCTCTAACCCGCTTGTCACCTCAATAAGGGTAATGCATCTTTTTTAGCATTAGCATTGATAATTGTATTGACAATAACTAATCTATAATGACATTTAAATAGGGTGATTTAAATAGTTTGTAATTGTATATGATATTTACAATTGTAACGACCATGATGTTTAGAAATTATTTTGTCCATGCACTCACACCCACACACTATATTAATACGAGTAAATAAAATATGTAATAAATATTGTGAAACTCAATATTTCATGCACAAACTCATTGGATTCCCACTCTATGAATTCACGTTGTTGGATGAGATTGCCCTTAACGGGCATCTCAATGTGTATTAGGATTGGGTTAAAACCCACATTGCCTCCGTTGCGTCACTCATGTTGCGATTCAATCTTGGGGGGACACATATTTCCTATTCTGGAGGTGCCGAGGGTGGGAGCAGAAGATAACACACCTGATAATGGTTGAGGATATTGTGATTTCTCATGACTTGCCACCACTTCTAGATCATATACCCGTGTTGGGCTATTGGGTCGGCATTCCAGGGCACTTTATAGTGAACGACGTCGTCTGGATAACACCAACACAATGAAGATTGTGGCACGGTCATCTGACGAGGAGCCCATAAATTTTTTTCATGAGCGGCTTCTCATTGCCCACTCGAGGAAGGAGAGCTTTACAACATCTATAAAGCATTACAGATTACAAACAGCATGCTACTATCACAAATGGACAGAGGGAGGACTACCATGCTATGGCAATCATTTCAGACAACATGCACATGGTTAAAATGCTAGAATTTAAAAGCTTTAATGAAAATGCCTCCAATCATTTTGAGTTTGTTAATACAAGATATATTGAGGTTGATGAGTGACATGGGAGATATGGGGATACCTGTGGACGTGTTATATACGCGCTGGGAGTCAAATCAACTCACAGTCGTTGATCCCATTGTCGAATTCAACAACCGGGGTACGCATGAACTTATAGTAAGACAAAACAAACAAAGAGCTTCGAGTTTTCTTGAAAAGGATATCATTTTATTCAAGAAGTGTAAGTTTGTACAGTTTTATTTTGATATCCATGTCTTAAATATAATGAACTAATTACATTTCTGTTTAATTGTGAGTGTGTGCCATCCCGGGGGTTAGAATTCCCAAGAGAACAAGGTTCCTTGGTGAAGTGTAATGGTGAGTTCATTTGGCTAATTCAGCTTGATTCAGAGTATTACTGCCAACATTTTTTCCTTTTATGCGATTGTTGTTTTGAATTACAATATGACCAAAAAATTTATTGGGATAGACATTTAATATTCACATTCAACATTGAGATGTTGAGACTTTCATGTTTGTAAAAAAAACTTAGTTTAGAAATAATCAAACTAAGGAAGATGATGTAAAAGTTGACATGGCTGAAGATTTTTATATAAATAAAGATTTTGTTTTGAAAAACTGATAAAACGGACTGAAATTTTCTTCAGAGTTCTACCAATTATTCAACAAAATAGGAAATCACAATGAATAATACCAATTACCAAATCATTTAAGGAAACAACATGTAAAATATGTAAACATGGTAGTAAAAAGTCAATTGAATAATTTCAATCATAATAACCAATTTACAGTTTCCTTAACAAATGTTGAAAAGTTGCTCAAATTACTTAGAGATTGACACTTGTAAGAAATCCAACTTTCAAATACGAAGGTTCAATAAATTTAACTATTCCATTTTTCTAGAGGAAAATTCCAAAATGATTTAAATCAATCAACATACTAAAATTCATAATCTAGATAAACATATTTGTTAAAAAAATCGTAATAACATATTGAGAATTATTTTCTTAAAATGGAGAAGCTAGAAACAAAGAAAATTGAGAAAATAAGAGTGTTTATACCCATGAGGTGAAATTAGCAGGGTTATCTTCTGTTGTGTTCCTCGGAATTCATAGTTTAGGAGTGTTAGATCCAAGTTCTTGCGTGGCAATGCCGTTTTGGGTGGTTGAGGGTCAGATAGAGGCAAAGGCGCAAAGGGCTGCTGGCCTGGATTTGCTTCCGGCCTCGCTATTCTTTGTCTCTCTGCTTTGTCATCCACTAGGTGTTGGGGCCTAGGCTCAAATACTTTGTGCAAGATTAAATTTATTTAATATTTCACTAACTCATCTATACAAATTTCATTTAAATCCCAATTTTTGTTTAAGAGAGAATAACAAAGTATATATATAACAACAAAATTGACAACGGGGAAACTGGTTTCGAGTATAACCTTTGAGTATAATCTTCTTTGGCGTGAAAATTTTGCCCGACATCTACCAATTCATGTCTAATCCAAACCCTATCATAAGCTACAAATTTTGAAGCACGATCAAATATTGAGAGAAAAGTGAGGCGATGTTGAGTTTATAAGTATCTTCCTTTTTGATGCTAGCAAGAGAAAAGACAATTTTTCCAAGTAGGTAGACGGTGATTGAAGATGTTGAGGCTTAGAAGAGGTTTCTAAGGTAGTATGTGGTTAAGTGGGAGGTTGGGAATGCACTTTTTGCGTAATGTTCTAACCGGCCCAATACAATACATGTGGCAACCGTCAAAAAAACATTTGGGCGGCAACACTCTCCTCTTGTTGTAAATAAGAGGATATGTCAACATTTTCTTCTTGTACAACTCCCCAATCAGTCTAATGTTGCCCAACGTTATTCCCCAATGTTCTTCTTGAGAATTTCTTTCAATTGCGCCTTTGCTTTGCCTGAATCCGAGTCTATCACGTTACCAACTTTGTACTGCTTTTCAGCTTTATGCAGCACTTGTGATGGAGTATGAAACTATGAGGAGAGTGCATAAGACCTCGGCAAAATCAGCAGCTATCTCAAAACCTTCAGGGAGGTTATTACATTTGTCCATATATTTTTGAGTAGATAAAAAATCTCTTGACTACTTTTGTGCTTTCATTTCATCACCATCTTCACCATACTTGTTGAATTCCAGAACAGCCTGGTCTTCCTGTTCACAAGTTCCCAGGTTTGGACTAGAAGCATAGGCAGCATCCTCCCTATCACCAGACTAATATGCCTTAACACGAATTTCCGGCTATATGTTTCGAAGAAGCCACAGATCCATATCTTCTTCCTACTGCTGATCTTGAGTAGAGAAACATATTTTTCTAAAGAATTGTCGTCGGTGTTGCTGGAACTAGCAGCTTTCTGTAGACAGCCATCTTGAGTTTGATAGGCTAATTCTGAAAAGGCATTACCCAACACTTCTTTGTCATTTTGGCTAAAGGTTTCAGACCACTGTACTTTTGTCCTCTTCGCTCTTTGTATCATGAGATTCGGAGGAGCCCTGTTTTTGGGCAGCATCCCTAGCTTTGGAATCAATGTCATCAAGAGTGCAATTTTCCCTGTAAGGCATTGTATTTGTGTCATCTGAGAAGAAACAGACACGCCGGGTTGGATGGTGTGTTTGGGAACGGCTCAAGCTTTTAGCGTTTAGCTTCTTGCTGAGAAAGGCTAATACTAATTGAAAATGCCGCCGTTCCCACCTTGTTTATGGAACCTGCCTCCACCAGATAAGTGGTGGGATAGGAATGCACGAGCTCTTTTGTCGTGATCTGTGAATTAATTAATCTCACTTATTTACTGCTTAGCTGTTTGGTGCCCTGTAATTATGTGTACTTCTCGCATAAGACAGAGGACTCTGATTTTCTAAGCTATATAAAAAAAACTGTGTTTTTTTTTTGCTGAAACAAGAGGATTGCCGGATTGGTAGTTAATTGATGGCTTTTTAAAATTTGAAAAATTTGAAAAATATTTTCTTAAAAACTTGCTTCCCTCTAAAAATATTTTTTTGAAGAAGTTTTCCTTTGATATTTTAATAGACGAGGTTTAAAAAAGATTAAGTATAAGGGTGAGGTTTTAAAAATGTTTTAAAAGGAGATTTTTAAAGTATGAAACATAAAAGTTGATTTGTAACATAAAAGGAGATTAAGTATGAAGATTGACCTCAAAAAGGCTTATGACTCTATTAGCTGGAGAGCCATTACAGGCATTATGGAGGCGCTGAGATTCCCTAGACAGTATATTAAGTGGGTTGATTACTGCATTTCCAATACAGCTTTCTCCCTACTGCTAAATGGTGAAAGCTTTGGATACTTTAACACTATGTTTGATTCAAGGAATTTGAGAGGGAAAAGAAAAGAAAATGACAAGGAATACATTTTTCTTGTTTGGTTAGAGAGGAAAAGAAAAGAAAAGTGGAAGGAAAAGAAAATGAGAAGGCAAAATGTACTAAAGGAAGAAAAACCAAATTTCTCCCATTTTGATGAGGGAAATCATGTTTCTTTTCTTTTCTTTCAAATTCCTTGAACCAAACATAGTGTAAAGGAGGCAAAGGTATAAGACAGGGGGATCCTATATCCCCTCTGCTTTTCACGTTGGTTATGAAGTACCTTACTAGAACATTGAAGTATTATGCTGGGAAGAGCAGATTCCAGTATCATCCTATGTGTAAAGGGCTGAATATCATCAACCTGGCTTTTGCTGATGACCTTATTATAGCTTGCAAAGCTGATAGGGTATCTGTTAAAACAATCATTCAATGTCTTGCCCATTTTAAATCAGTAACTGGCCTGGAAGTAAACTATTCTAAATCTCAGATGGTTCTGGGAGGTGTGAATGACCATGAGGGTGAGGAATTATTGAAGGAGGCTAAAATGAGCAGAGGTAAACTCCCATTTAAATATCTTGGGGGACCTATTACAGCAAGCAGAATTTCAGAAAGGGATTGTGAAGCTCTGGTCCAAAAGCTAACAACTCAAATAACAGTTTGGGCAACTAAACACCTATCTTATGCAGGAAGATGCAGGCTGATTAATTCAGTACTGATGGGGATTATTTCCTTCTGGTGCAGACTTTTCATTATCCCTACAATGGTAATGAAAAAAATCCATAGTATTTGTAGAAACTTTCTTTGGAGCTCAAAAGCTGATAATGGAAAAGTCCCATCTGTAGCCTGGGAAGATGTTTGCAAACCTAAGAAGGAAGGAGGCCTGGGGATCAAGAACTTGGTGAACTGGAATAAAGCATGTGGCCAGGGACTCCTGTGGGACATAGCTCAAAAGAAAGACATCCTCTGGGTCAAATGGATCCATAACAAATATCTTAAAAGAGATTCAATATGGGACATCTCACCCAAATCTGGAATGTGTTTCTATTTGAGGAAACTCTTACTCAATAGAGATATGTTTGCTGGGATGAGTAATCTAGAGAGCTATGAAGTTCAGAAAGGGTATGATTGGCTACAGGGCGGAGGCACAGATTTCCAGGCATATCCCATTGTCTGGAATAAACTGACTATGCCTAAACACCAATTTCTGATGTGGCTTGCTTGGAGAAATAGAATCAATACTAAGGTAAGGCTGAAGAGATTCATGGAAATAGACACTGTCTGTGTGTTATGCCACAAGGGGGATGAAGATAAAGAACACCTGTTCTACAAATGTGATTATACTAGAGAAATAATGGATGATATTGGCCACTGGTTAAAGTTCAGATGGAAGGCCGCCAGTGATGGGGATCTGCAAGAAGAATTCAAAAGAGTTAAAGGGAGGAGAAGGAGACAGACTATTATGGCTGGTTTTGCTGCTATCTGCTATGCAGTTTGGAGAGCACGAAATCTCAAGATCCATCAACAGAGAAGTGTTGCAGCTGGGGAAAGCAAGGAATGGATAAAAACTCATCTGAAATCCTTTATTAACTTTAAGCTCAGGAGAATGTATTTGTGTCAAACTTTTGTTTGTGTTGGTGGTTTTATTTTCAATCTGTTGATGTACTGTTGAAGTACGTTTGAGGTGAATAAAGTTGTGCTTTTGTTCAAAAAAAAAGATAAATATGTGAGCACCTGAATCCCTGTTAAATCGTATACGGGGGTATTATTATAATGCTACTATGGGTAATAAAATCAAGATTATTATGACTACATTTATTTACATCCTAATAATTAATTGCGAGAACAACGAAATGCACGAGCTCTTTTGGGGTTCATTTTTCACATGGAAACAAGAAATCATAAATACTACGGAGTACGTAATTTTTTAATACAAATCGTCAATAGTGAAATCCACACCATGCAAAATCAAATCAAAGCTGAGCACATAGTCTAATTGTAATCGCAAACTAACCTCTTCTCTTTTTTTTAGAATTAACTCCAATGTTCCCCTCTTTTTTTTAAGGTGTCAATTTTCATTTAAGAGATGACCCAAGATTTTTTACACGTCTTTCACTAATATGATTTTCATTGCTATTCCTCCAAAAAAAACTCTAATTTCGCATGATTGATTTTTTACTCTTCATCACAGTTTTTTTGTCCCGTTAAATCTTTTCTAGACATTCTATGTCTGTGGACTGAGAGAATATAATTTTATTTCAACCATTTACCAAGATATTGGATAAACTAAACCAAGTCTATTGCAAAATACTACTCACTCCATCCTATTTTTCCTATTTTATATCACTTGCTTTGATTCACAATATTTGATTGAAATTATTTTCAAATCATTGTTTATGAAAAATGACGTAGAATTAAGAAATAAAAATAACATATGTAAAAACTATATTAAAAAACCTACAAAATTAGTAGTGACACGATTATGTTATTTTATCAAATGACTAACGAAAATAGAGAAAAAAAGTGAATGAAATTTAATCTTATAAATAATAAATAGACAATTTAATTTGGGACAGAAGGAGCAGTAAGTTACGTACAATCAAAATCTATTAATTTACTAAACGTGTTGGTTAACTTTTTTTTTTATGAAAGAAAAGATAGTGATCAATATCATTCATTATCATTCATTCGTGGAGTATGATACAAACAGACCGCTTGAGCTATGCCTTGTGTGGCCTAATTCGCTGAACGGCAAGCAAAAGAGAAATACGGAGTATATGACTTCGGATCTTCTTCTTCATTGGGAGTGGCCTCTTTTAATAAGTTTCTTGTCAGGGAGCACTATAGAGGAGAGGAGCTTCAAGGTTTTCTTGTTTGCTTTTTTGGTTGTCAATCCTTTCTGATTGAGATGCAAGTAGCTGGTGAACTCTGCTCTTCAACTGCATTGGTCAAGCAAAGAAAATGCATGTAATTAAACAACTGATTAGTTCTTATACTTCTTACAAATCCTTGCAAGTTTGAATGAATGCCCAACTCATTTCTGTCCGAAAGGTCCCGACACAATGGTTGATTTGAATATGCTCTCTCCATTCACATTTAGCTGGATATTATGGCTTTTATGATACATCATAAGTGGGATGAATATGGACATACGTCGTGTCTACATTCGTTCCACTTTTGATGTGCCCTAATTGCCAATTAGATGTGAATGGAGTATAAGGTTAATGTAAGGGTCAGCCGGTCAGGTAAACTGAGCACATGCATACATCATCAAGGCCAGTTTCGCTCTTCACTGAGACGTGTAACGCCCCATCGGGTCCCATTTTTCTGTACTTTACGAGCTCGGGATGATCAGTTTTGGCATCTTCTGTTACAAAGAGAAGAGGGGATTGATGGAGCAAGTCACATTTGGAGACAACGTCAAGCCATATATGATCACTAAACCTTCCTCTCATTTCCTTGTAAATGGCAAACTGCACCACCAAAAGAACATTAATCAGATTCTTCTATGTGTTCCTATCTAAGGCCATAGAAATGGATTCCTTTGATTTCTAAAGCAGCAGAACCGGCTTCAAAACCCGAAAGATTCTTAAACAAGGTTCATGAGGGTGAAGAAAAGTATGCAAAAAGTGATATACCTGATCAGAAGGTGATGTCCCACACTCCCCAGATAAATCGTGGACATAGAGGACTGCTGTCGGTAAGTGACTCAGAACAGCCAGCGTCAACTTCTCCAAATTGTTCCTGTCCTCTGCAGATAACATATACGGAGTACAAGACTAAGACAACCAATCCAATCTAGTGAGAAATGATTAATGGCAAAGTAGTTAGATTGCAAGTACTACGTAATTTTTATTTTTTAGAGAAACAAAAGTAGTTAAAGATGCACAAAGACAATGGTTATCTGGATTGTACAAATCGTGCATACACTAGGGACACCTAAAAATTTGAGTCATACCATCATGCCTCCTCAAGATACCAGGAGTATCGGTAACCTGAAGAAAATTTTTTTAAAGTAAAATAGCCAAACATGTACACAGGAATATTGGTACAACTGACCATCATGCAAAACAAAAGCAAACCTGAAAATTTTGGTAGCTCAAAGAAATGTGCCCCATTAAAATTCCCCGGGTTGTAAATGGATAATTGCAAATCTGGAGTTTATGAAGCACACATCTATTAATTAGTACTCCATAATAGGGAAGAAGTGATTTCTGAAGAATCAAACTTAGGGTGGGAGGCTCTAAAGTCTGAACAGTTGAGGCAAAAACATGAAATTTTGGTTGTGCATGTACATATAATGTTGGAAATCAGAACCAATAAGAAAACAGTACCATTTAATCATTTTTATTCATTCTTGCTTCAGATATCACAATTAATAGAACCCATACCTCAGGTTTCCCCGTAGAAAGTACACGAACCAAAGATGATTTTCCAACATTAGGAGCCCCAACAAGACAAAGAGTTGGAGTTTCCAAATCAATAACCGGCATTGCTCTCAAAGTCTACAACCAAACCAAAGTTGAGTCATAAAAATGGGGATGGCCTTCTAGGCATATTGCAGCTTTGATTTTGCAGATTACTAAGATACAATCAAAGAAATGGAGGATGCAATGTTTGGTAAGACTTTTCTTTCATTTGCAACATAGAAAAATCTAACATGTAATTCATGTTTTTATGACCTATTACCTTGGCAATGTCCATCAGTTCATCAACAGCTTTTCCTTCGCTATGAAAAATTTCTTCAAGGGTTCTCATTCCCTGTATATCATATCAATAATCCCGAAACAAGTATCAGAACTAAATAGAGAAGTAACTCTTTTTTCTTCTTTTTCTCTTCTTTTTGGTGCGAAAAGTAAATAGTTAGAGACGTGAATTAACACACTCAAAGTGTAGAACGTTGTTGACCTCACTCAGCCGCTCCTCTGCTTCACGCTTTGTCAGTGACTGCAAAAGTATGCAAAAAATTAAGCTTGCACCACACCACTAGATAGGTGAGACAACACATGGTAAATTGAACAAAAAATAATTTAATTAATTTAACATATTAATGCAATAAGATCAGACTGTTATACCTTGGCACAGAGAGAGGCATGTTCTTTTCCAACTGACACAACTTTCTTCCTCAATGAGTCAATCCTTTCCAAAGCCTACCATTCATGATAGTAGCGATACAAAAGCTAAAAAATTCATCAATATGAATGAGAACAAACATAAAGTCGTGTCACGTTCAAAGCATTACCGCTTCATAGTTTCCATCTCCAAGTGTCAACTCGACCAAAGATCTTTCATAAGGATGCAAATGTTGTTTTACTGGGAACGTCTCCTTATATGTCCTCAATGGAAGAGCTAGCTCCTACATATAGAAATACTGTGAGGCCGTTTTTCAAATGATACCACCAAAAGCATAAGCTTTGTATGTACTGAAGATAGAAGTACATTGTGATTGAAAGTTTTTTTACCTTCAGTAATGCATCAAGTTGTTTTGCACCTCGATTCCTCTCTCGCTTTGCAATATTAGCAATGCCTGTTTAAACACAAACACTAATGCCATGAAAACATCACTAAAACTAAACGTCTGACATTTTAGCAGGTTTGGACAAAAACCTACCCTTTGTAGGCGAAACCCTCTTTGCTTTCCTCAGTGCTGAATATAATATATCCACCGATGGCATTACCATGGGTAACTTTTTAAAGGCACCTGTGTTTTCTACCGCTGGTGTTGATTTCACCTGGAAGGTAATGGAAAATTGCATCCAATTTGAATGTAAACAAAACACTCAAGCACAGTAGGTCTATATCCAAACCAAGGAAATATGTGATGGAGGGCGAAATGAAAATGAAGTGGAATAGATTTTGCAAAATTATTGCTTCCAAAACTCAAGAGGAACAATAAATTTCCTAACACCATTTAATGGGTCATTCACAGAACTTGTAGAACTTTAGAAGTCAGCAAGAAATACAGATTCAGACGTCATAGACTGATTCCAGGTTTGCAGGTGAGAAGAAACCCAACCATTTCCTTACCGTTTCCTAATTCCACCCTTGTGGATTTATTGGAGATAATTGGACAAAGGAAAATAAACATTAAATATCTTCTCAAGAACCAATAGTATAGAAAGATACTAACTTTGTTATCCTGTTTGGATTCTTGAGTAGGAATGTAGCTTCCATTCACGATTCCATAAGCACTGGTTTGCACTTGCTTGCACAAGCATGCCATAGGTTGCATGACCCTCCCAATCACTGTAAACTGACCTACAGCAATTGAATCATACATAAAAACAGAGAACAATAAAAAATGGAACCAAAAAGAAGCAAAGTTGAATTCATTTGCCTAATCACAATGGTTCAAAATTGAAATAAATTTGAAATTGGAATCCCAAAGGTGCCATCTTGAAACATAATTATTGATTATAGACACTGAAACACGCAAACTATACATGCATATGTGAGAGGGAGAGGGAGATAATACTTTTGGGGAATATGGAGCTTCTGAGTAGGTATGTCGATGAAGAAAGCTGCCATAGCTGTAATAGACTTGACGAACCACTCATTCCAGAAAGGTGTTTGGAAAGGTCGGGAAATGAATTCCCTTTAAGAACTGGAATTCATTCACTCCCTTTGAAACACAATTTGAATTCAATTCACACAATGAAGGACTTGAAAATCTGGAATCCGGCGATTGGTGGTTGATGTCGATGGAAAGACGGTGGCCCGCGGCGGCGGCGGTGCTGGTGTTGAGGTTGGCGGGAGGAAAGGCGAAGGTGCTTGGTAAACTGGAAGAGGAAAAAGTTGAGTAAGTAATTTTGGAATGGGCTGATCTCATCCAAAATCAATCTGCAGACTTGGAATGGGCCGAATATGACGACTCCATAAATTTTGTAAAATTGCTACGGTTCAACTGGTCCAAGAAAAGGACGTGGAGCCCATAGATTCTAGGGTCGGATCCCGAGAGCGACAGTACGAGAATTATATTCTTTGTAATAGCTCTCTGTATGCACCGGGCACAGAACAACCTATCTAAAGATCAGATTAAGATTATACCATGATTTACCCTCCTCACTATCCCGTCGAGACGGGGTGTGGGGGCGCTTGGAGTGGGCATTCCACCTTTTGTAAAATTGCTACGGTTATGTCATATGTTTATTTTTCGGTGTGTTTAGTACAGACTACAAAGTACTCCATAATAAAAATGTGTCAAATGCTGAGAAATCTGAACTTTTTTTCCAAAAGAAACGACGTCATTCCACTTGTAAACGTAAAAAAAGACACTTGGTGAATCACTTCCATGGATTGCGAACACTTTGTTATTGGCATCAGTACATCCATTTTTTATACTCCTTACGTCTCATATTTTTGTTCTACATTTGACTTGACACGAGTTTTAAAATAAGATGTAAAAAAAATTATATTCTATTTTTGCCATTCATTTGATAGGTGAAAGAAATAAAGTAGATAGTGAGATCCGAGCAAAAGAAACAATTGGTATTTACCAAATAAAGAAATAAGAAAAAAGATATACTCCGTAGAACAATTCAAATTAAAATGTAATTTTTGAAAAAAAGATATAGAATGGAGACAATATTATGACCACTCCGTATTTCTTACCCAGTACGAATAGGGACCTACGAGTCCGTAGGGTATTGGGACTCCACGTCTCTTCTTAGATTTGCAATGGGACTCAATGACAATGCTTGATCTATGCATGTGGTCTACGGAGTATAAGGTAGTACCTATTCATATATTCTCAATCTATTGAAGCACATAGAATTATCATACCCACAGCACATTTAAGCCTGAACACATGACTTTCTATTTAGTTGTATTTAGGAGATTCATATAATAGTGCCCCTAGACCACAAATGCTTTGGATAGTCCTCAAATTTCCATCTTGTTTCCTTTTTTCAATCTCAGCCATGCTCATTTAGGCTCCGTTCCGTTGAACTTATTTTTTCTGATCTGATCTGATTTTAATAAGTTCTGATCTGATCTGATCTGGTCTGGTCTGATCTGATTGGATTTGATCTGATCTGATCTGATCTGATTGGATCTGATTGGATCTGATCTGATCTGATTGGATCTGATCTGATCTGATCTGATTAATTATGATTTAATTTAAAATTTCAAATTAATAATTTGATTTGACTTTATAATAACGTTTGAAAATTGTAATGATAATTCATAGTATAATATAATCAATATTTTTTATTTAATAATTATTTTTTAATAAAATAAAAATAGTTAATTCATATATTAGAATAATCATTCATATTATAATGTAATAATATTTTTTATTTTATGATTATTTTTTATATTAGAATATTAATTTAATATTTTAATAATTACTTCATATATACATTAGANAAATTACAAGTAGCAATAAAAATATATTTTAAAAGTAGAATTAGATTGACACTGTTAATGTATTTTAAAACTAATTTTTCCAGCGTCTAATAATTAAGGATTACTTTCTCAGTTTTCTATTTAACCTATTTCTAAAGTTTATTCTTTTTCATTTTTAAGAACAATAATAATAATAATAATAATAATGATAATAATAATAATAATAATAATAATAATAATAATAATAATAATAATAATAGTAGTAGTAGTAGTAATAATAATAATAATAATAATAATAATAATTCTTGATGGGATATGATTTTAATAAGTTCTGATCTGATCTGATCTGATTGGATTTGATCTGATCTGATTGGATCTGATCTGATTTGATTGAATTTGATCTGATCTGATTCGATCTGATCTGATTCAATCTGATCTGATCTGATCTGATATGATTCGATCTGATCTGATCTGGTCTGATCTGATCTGATCTGATTCTAATAAGAATAAGAAAAAATAAAAAAAAATAAGTTGAACGGAACGGGGCCTTAGTCATTTCAATATACCCAATGGACCAGGACCCATATATATTCGGTTTGGACCTATCAGCATAAAGATAAATAAAAAGAAAATGAAAAAGAAAAAAAAAAGACTCAGAGCGCATAGCGATGAGTGATCGGACGGCCTATCTCTATTCCCTCCCAAACCAAATCTCGCCATAATATTGGCGGGAAATCGCAGATAAACGTCAGATACTTCAGTGTTAGACGAAGAGGATGCTCTGAAAATCGATCTGATTTTGATGACTGAGGAATGCGGATTGATGTTCGACGATGAGAAACCCTAGATTAGTATAGCAGCGAGGCGATTTTTGATTGGAAAAATGCCTCCGAGGAAGAGAACAAGTACAGGTGGATCTAAGAAATCGAGCAATCAGAACCAGCCGCCGCAGCCGTCGTCTCAGCCGTCCAAGTTCGGAATCCAGCACTTCTTCGAACGCCACACCCAGAATAGCCTCTCCCAGAAGACCAAGGACGGGGTTAATTCGGGTTTTGGTGCTTCAGAACCCGCTCCTAACAATGATACAAAAATGGCAAATCTTAATTCCCACGACTATACCACCGAAAGGGCTACTGATCCTGAAAGCTCTGGGAACACTAAAAAGTTGGCGAGTGTGAAGAATAATGAGAATGCAATGGAATTGAAGAAGATGGATCTGAGTGCTGCTGCTTCTGCTCTTGATACTGAAGTTGTAATTCACAGTAACAGTTGCCAAAGGTCAGAGGAGGATTTGAACTCAAGGATAGCTGAAGTGGAAAAGTCAGTACGCAGGGCAAATTTAGGAGGAAGCGACTCGGTACCTATGGCGGTAGGAGATGAAGTTAATGAAGCAGAAGTGACACCTGAGACTTGCAAGTTGGCATCTGTAAAGAGGTTCAAGTTTTCTCCCGGAATGGTAATAAGCATCCATTCTCATGCAATGCCCATTGTAGCCACAAAATGAATTTAGTGCCCATGTCAAAGTTACAATTATAAGAAAGTTTTCTTGCTAGCCTTAATGTTGATTCTTGTCCAATTAAAGGATGGACAGCTAGAGTAGCATAATGTTTGTATATATGTCTTGGAAGCCCATGATTGGAGCAAAATCAATTAAGTTTACCTCACTGATACCTCTTTTGCTAGTTTATTCTCTATTTTAGATTTTAGGGTTTAGTTATTTGTTACTGCATTTGGCTAAGTCAGTAATAAAGAATTTCATGTACGAAGAAGTGGCTTTTGGGACTATAAAAAGTGATTATTGCATCTCACAGTTTTCAGGGTGACATATTTTAGGTAACAGAGATGCTTGGAAGGGTTTGAGCACTTAGAATTGCTAGAAAGTGTACTCTTGTAATCACGTGGGAATAATATTACTAAGACTGCTTTTTTTTGTTTGTTTAAGCTGTTCAAAAACTAGTTACAATATGATCTGAATTGTCTTGTTACTTGTGCTAGTTGATAATGCAAAGCCAGGATGATGGAGGTGATGAGGTTACATGGAAAATTTCTCCAGTAAATGAACGGCTAAATGCTGTTTCTAAAGCACAGAAGGTAAAGAAGCTGGCAGATTGTTCACGGTTCAATCTACTCAATTTTCAGCAGTGCTCCCAGAAAAAGGTGTATTTAAGTTGTGCATTGATTTATGTTACGTAGTGACTTTACTTTAATTTTGTTCTCACACTTTGTTTCATTATGTAATGAGTTATATTCTTTTTGTACATAAATAGGTCAAATCTCTAGAAGCGACAGTAGTTTCAAAGTGGCAATCGTCACCCCCAACAAAAAAACCTGAAACTGCTTTGGCGGACCCAAATAAAACCAAACTAGCTTTTGTCACTATGGATCAAGTAATGGATATTCATGCTAAGAATGGAAGGTCCAATAGTGAGAATGCCTCTACCATAGTTAACAGCCAGAGTCCTTTCAAGACACCTCCATCTCTAACAATTGGCCATGAGAAGGTGATCTGACCAGTAGTATTCCATCTTTTTTTTCTGGAGCCTCTAGCAATACTTTAGTGTTTATTTTATCTGACCCAAAATATTAAGAAAAATGCACTGGTCTGATTTGAGTATATGTTTATCTACCATAAATGACAGCCTGAAAAAGGTTTTGATCCTCACATAGCTTCTGATCAGCGTGGATCAAGGCACAAAAAAAAGGTAAAATGAAATGCAGTCATCAGTTTGAAGTTACTTTTTTCATTGTTTAGTAATGGCCATTAACTGAAATTCTGTCTTAGGCACTGATAGATCTTTTGGATCAAGTTGAAGATGTAATAACTGTTGAATCTTTGGCAAGAGAGGAGAACACGACATTTTCTGGAAATGATATGCATGGAAGACCCGATCCCGTTTTGTCAGAAGCAACTAGTAATCTGAGAGAAACCTCAATTGTATTTCTTGTATTGGAGGTCAGTGGAAATATTCTTCACTTGGAGTCTAATTTGAGAAAGATGAGGATCTATTGATCTGCACTAAGCTGCATGGTATGTTTGCTAAATAGGTTTCTGAAAAGCATGAACAACTCGGGCTCTCAGGTTCAAAATGTTCATTTAAGGTTGGATCATTAACCGTATTAATTTGTCTAGAAGTTTTTACTTTCTACAAAAACCAGTGAACTGAAATATGAGACACAGGTTTTGCGCCTTCTCAATGAACAAAGTGGGGAGGAGCGAGTTGTGCAATTATGGGATGAGTGGTAATGATTTTCCAGCTGCTTCATTGTAACTCTTTAGATTTCAATCTTTTTTCCTAATAGATAATAGTGACTACTTATTTCATTAATCTCTTTTAGTAGGGTTCAGTCTGATGATATAAAAGTGAAAAGAGGCTGAATTTTGTGGAGGTTGACCTCTTGTAAGCTCGCCTCAGTGCCCTTCTCTTTG